TGTGTGTGTGTGTGTGTGTGTGTGTGTGTGTGTGTGTGTGTGTTATTCAGTCTTCCATCTATTCCTGTTATCTCAGCACATTTTATCAGACACAGAAAGATTATTTAATCCGCGGCGTTTCGTTAAAAATACCTCAATAACTCTGCTGATCTGTTCTGTTTTTAATCAGAACAAGAATTCACTTAAACAGTAAAAGGGTTGTATTTTTACAAGATGTTCCAYATATTATTTTTAACTGACACAAACATGTTCAGTGAGAATCTGATGGTGCTCCGATGCATCACAGGGGAAAAAAAATCTCAGTTTATGAGAAGTCATCTCTCGTGGAAGTTGCACCTAAACTGAAAGCAAAAATAATCAGTTCCTCATTTCTGAAATATTTTTCCTTTAGCATGACTGGCTAACTCTGAATGATGGTCGTAGCTGCGATGCATCGCTCCACCAGATCTGATCCTTTCTGTTTCACAACAGCAGCAGACGGAGCGGCACAATGACACTTTACAGAACATTGTAGAGCCACGGTAACAATGGCCGCCAGTGTTCCGAGTGCCAGTTAGTGACTCATACATGACCTAAGTGTGCCTGCAGTCATGGTGGAGTTATACTGTAATTCTCTGGTTTAATGTACAATTGTTGGGTGGAAACATAACGTGGAACAAATGAACTATTTATAGAGTAAATGACCAGGTGAGTGTTGAAGTATGATGTCAACTATTTGTTTGACAATGAAAACAACAACAAGGAGTCACCCTCCTTAACAACAATATGAGTCAGAATCAGAGATTCTAATGTTTGCTTTTCAGTGATCATTTTAGATTTAGTGGTTGTTCCATTAGAAACACTTTACAAATACAACTGAAATTAGCATCTATTCAGGTCAGATTATTATGTCTTTTATTAGGTTAAAGAGAACAGAAACACACTGTAGCAGATTTAATAAGACAGAAGGGTGATACTGTTTTATCCACTCTACATTGAAGTTTGCTCTCGTTAAAGATGAGACACCAAATCAGTTTTATTCATCAATATTTCACCCTAAATACTGAAGTGTCAACTTAATATTCACTCAATGTGGAGGAAACCAAATTTGTCTTAAGTTTCATCTCAAAAATAGAGAATTAAAAATCAATATAATAGTAGTCAAAAACATTGAAATAAAATAAAAACAATTTGGAAAATAAATGGATGAGCTGTTACTTTAGATACTGTGGRAATAAAGCTTAATCATGGATTTATTTGTGTTTATAAAAATAAAAACAATTCTTTTGGACAAAATTGTTCATGTTTTGTGAGTGCAATGAGTTTCGACAAAATCATTTGTTGATAAATAGTATACTTTGGAAAATGGAGAAAGGGAGTTTAGCTTAAACTTGAACAGATTGTCAAGTTTATCTATCTATCTATCTATCTATCTATCTATCTATCTATCTATCTATCTATCT